TTTATGCCATATGAAATAGATTCTGTCTAGAGCAACTACCCCCAGTGCTATATGAAGAGTGGTCTTTGTTCATTGTCAAGTAGGTGGACCCTGACAGAGCCAAAGACGCAGAGGGACGTGTTTGTGTACCTGGGTTAAAAAGTTTGGACTTCAGGGACCATGCATGACAGATACGCAACCCTCATTTTCAGGTCTTACATTGGCAGCTAATAGCCACTTTTGTGCATTCCCAACTTTTGTGCATTCTATTGTAGGTGGATGATTCTCCTGCTCTAGACATTCATTTCCGTGATTAAAGTAGGTTGATCCGAGCTGATTTGGTTGAGTTACGCTCACACAAGATTACACCGGTTGAGCTACATCGAGCGTGCTTTATGTCCAGAGTGATGTAATCTCTCTTTGACCGCAGCTCAGTCAAATCAGCTTGGATCAACCTACTTTAATCATGGAAATGAATGTCTAGTGCAGGGGCATCGTTCCCATGCAGTGGATCTCGCAACAATGATGATTGGATAAAAGTGGCCGTTAGCTAGCAATACATGCCTGTTCCTAGATGATCCATAAAGTAATTATACATTGACCTTTCATTCATGCAAACTGTTGACGATCTTTATTGACTGCCTTTTGCTCGCAATCTGCATACAAGCCAGCGTTCATAATCAGTACAAAAAAACACAAAGACAAAAGGGGATGTATCGTGCAAAGGAAAACGAGCGTACCAAGGTAGTAGCAAAAAGCAAAGACTTCAAGGTGTGAAACCTTACAGACAACAGCGACAGGAAACAATAAATGGATACTACATTTTACAAAGATGATTGCTTAGCTACACCATCAGAGAGATAACGACAAACGACATGCGTACGTGCAAAGAGTAGATATACGATCGAAACTTGAGGCCAATCCTAGGCCAGCGACAATGATACAAAATTGGGGAAAGAGGATTCCTGTTGTTTATTGTTCGAGTTACTTAGCTATTTATATAGGATAGGGGATGCTAAGGTGACAATACACATGTATTTGGGTTATACAGACATAGTCTGCTACTTTACCACAAAACGTAGCTGTGTTACACAACACGACCCTCTCCATCTTTTGCTCTGCCAGAGTCCACCTACTTGACAATGAACAAAGACCACTCTTCATATAGCATCACGCTTACAAACATAAAGGTGCCTGTATCTCCAAACTTTACAATGAAACGTGGGGTTTTTATTGGAACAATGGGCTCGGCTTGGCCAACAGCACCTTGTGTGAAAGTTTCACGTTCAATGTCGCAAACAGCCCAAAATATTTTTTGGTCGTCGTCGTCGAAGAGGTCGACCCCCAGATCCAGTTTGGCTGGTAGCGACATTGCGAAATCTGGGAATGGCCACGATGAACTTCATACTTTGACACAAGATCGCTTTGACTCAGCCGAGCAGCTTGTTCTCTTAAAGAGCCCATACTTCATTGTAAAGTTTTGAGATATGGCTGTCTTTATGTTTTTACTATGTTGTAAGCGTGATGCTATATGAAAAGTGGTCATTGTTCATTGTGAAGTAGCTTGACCCTGATATAGCCGGAGATGCAGAGGGACTTCTTTGTGTAACACAGCTACTTTGCATGACTGGAAGGATTGATGGATTATACTTTATGGTCTATCCATAATAGTCCATATGGCGCGCGCTATCAGCCAATTCCTCACAATCAGCATTGTTGCAAAATCCACTGCATGGGAATGATTCTCCTGCTCCAGCCGAGCATTTCCATCATTCAAGTTTCTTGATCCGAGCCGATTTGGGTGAGCTACGCTGGAACAGCAAACATGAAAATTAATGAATCGCAGGGTCTGCGAATGTCTCCGTCTTTCAAACTTTTGGACGCTCGCATTCTAAAGTTTCAAATGAAACGTGAAGTTTTTATTAGAAAAACTTGATCAACATGCTCGAGAGCACCCTTCTGACCAAATTTCCAAGTTGGAGGTGGGCAACTTCGAGGCGGCGGGCCGTCCGCTCTTTTGTTCCCGTTATCCACCATTTGGACCGCCCCCGCATTTTGAATCTTCACAATGAAGCCTCCGGTTTTTAATTGAATGAAGGTGATCAGCATGTTTCAGCGAACCTTCTGACAAAGTTACAAGTTCGAAATGGAGAATCCCAAGGTAATACGTACTATTTCGATAAATGATGAATCCGGCGCTGTCCGGCTTTCCGACCTCCATAGTAAATCCCACATTGCACCCTCCCATTCAATATTTTCAAATGGAATATGAGGTATTTATTAGATCAACAGGATCAGCATGCCCAAGAGCATCTTGTGTGAAAGTTTGAGGTGCGAGAGGGGCAATCTCATAATCAAGGATTGATGTACAGTGTTCATGCATTGATACAAGAGGTGTCCGCCTATTTAATTTCCACTTCTTCCACTCTCACCTTTCTCCCTCTTCCTCCCATTCCCAACTGTTGCCCCATTCAAATATACAACTACCACCTGCGAACGATTGTCCTGCTTCAACACATCATGTCAATCCCACAGCTGTCTTGATCCGATTGTCTTTGACTGAATGGCAAGTCCATGGCGTGTGCAGCCCACTACAACACCCGCGTTTCTTGACACATCACCTTCTCTTGTACAATCGTCGACCACAACCATTCGTAAGAGCAGCTGCCATTAGCAAACTCTTTACTGCATTGCGTCAAACAGCGTTCACAGCCATGTCATTCTATTACAACACACGCTCTATTGCACATCCACAACCAATCGTAACAGCAGATAGCCATGGTATCTAAGTCGCGTGATTTACGTACAGCAACTTGCTTTGATACATACAGATAACAATGGATGATGCCATATCAGCTATCAAGTTCGCCGCAATACAAGCAATCCTTCATCTGGATGAGCAGCGATGGAAACTGACCACGAAAGAGAGAGAGATCAACAGTAGGATGGAAATGGAAGAATGCAGCGATCACACGGCTTTTTTCAACGAACGTATTGTATTTGCAATGGTTATGGATGGGTGGATGCAATCAAGTGCAGTGATGATGGATCATGGAACGTTGTTTTGGTTACTTGACGCGTCGTCAATATGAATGATGGATCGTGTCGCATGGATACGGCTGAGGATGAGGATGATGGATTGGATGGAATTGATGGTGTTTTACAGCCATGGATGGCATTGTGATACTCAAGTCATACACCAATGAGCGAACCAAGTCTCAATGCATGACCAAGACATAGGTGCATAATGGACCAGGTACATGCTATTCATAAGCAACAGGAAGAATTCAATCAACAGCTCGTTCACCATCAGCTCCATGTAGGCTCTCTTATGAAACCTCCAAGTGCATCAGGCAGTAAGTCGTTGTGATCAACATGACCACGTACCACGTACGCTACTTTACGCTATCCTTGTTCAGCTATCAACGGCTTACGAGAAGCGACATGTCACTAGCAGTAACTCGATCAAGATGAGGGATGAGGATGGGAGTGCCAAGGCTTTGGATATGAAGAGTATCTGTGGATGGTGGCAAGTAAACCGGATGAGCCTTCTACCGGGGCCGTATCACATGAGGTAAGAGTTGACAAGGGATCTACGTGCGAAGATGAGGTATTTTCAGGATGCTTGTGTTAACATTAACATGTACACGTTAGACTCCTTCCCACACGGCTGGATGACGACATGAAGAGTTGGCTTCACTTTATCAACATTTTATACTGATGAGGACACAACAATTATAGTAGCATCCTATTGTGATTCATTTTTCAATACATTCGCGTCAAACTTCAAAGTATGAGACATTCCATGTGTATGCAAATGGATGAAGGGTTAGAGGATAAAGAGTAGTACGAGCGAGGCTTATGCCGCGGCTCCCCACACGAATATTCCCCGCGCCAGTACGACCTCGCTGTGGGAAAATCGCCTTTTTTTCACAAATGGAGAATTTTCCTATGATGTGTAGTTGTGTTAGGTAATCCGCGCGCGCTCAACGTTAAACAAGTACAGAATTTATAAAAAAGCACCCTATTTGTTACAGGGTTTGTTGTTGTTGTTGTCTTGACCACACCACCGCTTTAGATGCAAATCGTTTCTTCGTTGATCCTTGTAACAGCAGCAGCAGCTGGGCTGCTTATGACTCCTGTCAATGCTTGCGAACCTTACAAAAAGCATACCATCAAGGCAAAAGGCATTGAAGCTTCCTTTATTGAATATGGTGCCACCATCACTGTAAGATAACCACGATAATGATGATAATCATCATGCATGCTTAACTTTGGTTGATCCTTTGTACATAGAATCTATGGGTCAATGACAAGGATGGTGTTCCAAGAGACATTGTCCTCGGTTGGGATGATGTACGTGTATACCACAAACCAAACAAACATAAAATTGATCCACTTTATAGACCAAACAATACAATCTTCAAGCTGGTTTGCCCGGGTTTTTGGGAGGTACTATATCTATCACACGTAAAATGGTGGAAACCATGGCACTGATCCTATGTAATAATATTAGCTGTCGTGGGTCGCTATGCCAACCGTATTGCCAATGGCACCTTTACTATTGATGGGACCGAGTACCATACACCTTTGAATGAGAACAATATCACAACCTTGCATGGTGGCGATATGGGATTCAATCGATTGAATTGGACCTTGGTGGATAAGGGCAAGCAGGATATTACTTTTGGATTGACTTCGGCTAATGGGGATGAGGGATTCCCAGGCACCGTGGATGTGCGTGTAAAGTGTAAGAGTATAATATAGTACGTAAAAAGAGAAATCTTGGTGCTCATCAACATGATAGACTCCGTAAATGACAACCAAGAATGGCATATTGATTATCAAGGCACCACGGACAAGGAAACCATCATGATGTTGTCGCAACATACCTATTGGAATTTGGATGCATTTACTACATCGGACACGGTCGATGATCACGTCTTGTGGATCCCTGCTGACAAGTATGTCAAGACCGATGGATCATTGATCCCCACGGGTGAATTGGTTGAGGTGGATGGTACTGCCTTGGATTTCCAAAAAGAGAAACCTATTGGACGTGATCTCAAGGAAGCCAAGGAATGTGGGTAAGTAGTAATTGTTAAGCGTTTATATACACAACGTTGCCTGACACAAGAACTATCTTAGCTTTGATTGTGTGGGCTATGACAATTGCTTTATTTTGTCCGATCCCAATAAGGAAGAGTATCAATTGAAAGCATATGCTCCCAGCACAGGCATTCAATTAGCTATCAAGACCGATCAACCTGCTTTCCAATTTTATTCATGTGGTGGTTTGGATGGCACTTTGCCCATTAAAAAGACTCAAGGTCCAGAGGGAAGCAAGAAACATGCCCACCGCCGACGACAGGATCAAAAATACGTTCCTCAATATGGATGCTTTGTCCTGGAGACTGAAGAATACATTGATGGCATCAACAATCCCCAATGTAAGTTCTTTAGTGTTTTCATTGACATGTGTAGTTTACTGATCCAACATGATGATAGGGGGCAAGGAACATATGGGATTGCTTAAGCCTGGAGAAGAGTACACCCAACATGCCGAATATCATTTTAGCATCCATCATTAAGCGATAACAGTAATATTTATAAAGCAGCAATATTAACATTAGTAGTAGTACAAGTATTATCATTTGAATCCATGGGTTGTTGTTGTTGTTGGAGGAGGAGGAGGATAGCTTGAGCGGTGTCGAAAATGTGATCCAAAGAGATAGATGACCAGCGGGCTGTGGCCTGCACATGACCCAACTCATGTTCCAATGCACGTTGCAAAGTGACAGGAATACCATAAAGAACAAAGGTAAGCTGATCAATGCCGTATTGAAAGAGCGAAGCTAATTTAAGTAATTGTACAAGTACGATGTCAAGTGATGTGTTGTTGAGTAGTAGTAGTGTCGTTGATATCCAATGCGATCGCATATCATTCGACCATGATGATGTATGAGAGCTATGATTCACGTCTTGAACCGATGCAGCAGCCAAACGTGGTCTATCGCTTGGATGTATTTCCCAAGTCCCAGCACGCAAGTGTTCAATGACATGTTGTGCGTCCGTATACCAAATGATAGCATAAATCCATAGACGAGCCGTTGTGACGGCATGGACGAGGTCTGTCATTAAAGTGGCTTCGAAAGAAGAGGTGGCGGGTAATGAACAACAAGGGATGTTGGCCAAGTGACGGCCAAAGAAGCGTGTGCGACGTTGTTGATCATAAGCGCAATGTTCACGAAGAAAGAATTGTACAGTGCTCGAGTTGAGTAATCCACAAAAGAACTCTGCTGATAAATCGGTCTCAGGAGAAAGCGTAAAATACATGCATTGATTCGTGACACAAAGCTGTTGCCGATCTACAAAGAACCGTTGTCGTGGTTGAGATTTTGTAAAATAGCCACAATTGATAGGATGCACGATTTTGACAGCGACATCCGTACCACATTGATTGTAATGACACCATGTGACTTTACGTTCTTCTCGTGTAGGCTGCAATGCGACGCGTGCTGCTTGCAAGTACTCGTACAATCGTGCATCATCAGGATGATCCTTCAGGGTATCTGCTCCATCCTTATCCACCAGGAGTAGTGAATAATTGGCATCGGGTGCATAAAAGGGTGCATAGGCTTCAGCAGGTGATGTTTCCTTTCGTGCGAGACGTTGTGGATCGCGTACATGCCAAAAGGTACTTTCAGGATCATTGGTACCACCACCAGCAGCAGCCGCCTTGCCACTCCAATAAAAAGCAGGTCGCAACCAACGTGAACAACAATCAGGACCAAAATAATCACGAGCCCATTGCGTACGCACCACGAGAGCATAAACAGGATGTGTATTGGGTCCACGATGAAAGACAAGAGGTGCACCAGGACCATCGCATAAACGGGAGAGTGAATGTGTCAAGTGAGCAAGTTCACCCGTCAATGAAGTGGAAGGTGAAAGAAACGCAAAGGATGCATTGGGTGAATTTTGGATACGAGAGCGATCATGTGTTGGTGTATACTTGTAGGCAATGTCACTGGAGGGTGATTGTTGTTGTTGCTGTGGATTGAATGTCGTATAAGCGGCAAGGATGTCTTGGAGTGTAGCACGACGTGCTGTGTGGCGTAAAAATAGCGTATGCGTGTTCAAATTGGGAGGACGTGTGCCACGCATGCGAAGGCGAAATATCAAAGAGTCTGTTTGTACACGTGGCCACACCTTGTAAGGTTCCAGTTGAAAGAGTTGTAACAATTCACAATGTTCCCATATCCAAGCACTATATATAAAAGTTCCCCATGTCAATCAATCCATGATCATTGCATTGTCATCATCATCATTATTTACCGTAAATGACGAGCAAACTCGAGCACCAACCATTGACTTGGGGTGATCAAGCATAGTTCACCATCATGTGGATCACATCGCTGTAAACAAATCCACATAAAGTACACGTAAGCTTGTACACCACGACCACCAAGGATACGTGTATCGTATAATGCTGGATCAGGGTCTGTGATACGCCCCGTCTTTCGAATCATGTAAGGTGGATTGGTGACGATATAGTCAAATACAAGTTTGCCCGAATGTAGTCGTTGCAACTCACACTGTTCCCAAGGATCATCTCCCACACGAGGTGTCAAACGTAAAGTGTCGCTGCAAAACAAATGGAGCCGATGGACACGTAGGGTGTGGATGGTGTCAGGGGACAATTGGCATAGACGTCGATAAAGTGGTAAAAGATGTACCAATATATTGAGCTTGGCTAATCTCAGCGCCACAGGATCCAATTCGACGCCCCAAATATTAGCAGGAATGTCTGTGCACAAGATGTGTTGGAGTGCTACAGCATTGTCCCACGTGGCACCACCACCACCACCACCACCACCATCCAACTGATACTGCTGCTGCTGTTGTAGCTGCGTCACCCACCGTGTCAAAAACTCGCATAGAAAAGCACCCATTCCCATACATGGATCCAGTACGCGAGGCACGTGTTTTTTGTTATTGTTGACAAGGCATTGTGCCCACATGAATCGGACTACACTTTGTGGCGTGTAAAACTGGCCATGGTCTTTTTGTTGCTGTGGAGGTGCTTCGTTGGTATAGAAACGTGCAAAGATGGTATCCACGCATTTCAATAATCGCTCGGATTGTACGCCTAATTCATTCAATCGATATCGAATGTCCTTGGCGAGTGAACGTCGAAATAAAGTGTCGTGATGTAAAAGAGGATCATCATCCGCCATCTGGTCATGTGGATCAAAGATGGCCATGTAGGCAGCAAAGGCAGGTTTGTTGTTGTTGTCATTATGCAATAAATCATCGGCAACTGCTTCAACAAAGGCAACATACGTTGTCACCAATCCACGCATACGCCGAGTTTCTTCATCGCCTTGTTGTACCAATGCATCATTGATTCTAGCAAGCACGTCGCCTAGCATGGCCACAACATCTTTGACTACATCCTCCACCTCATTCATATGAACAAAAGGACGTTTACGGTCATTGGATGATGATGATGGGATAGGTGATGCTGGTGATGCTGCTCGGTTTAATAATGACAGTTGTTGTTCTTGCTCAGGTAGTTTGCATTGCTGCTGGTCCATGCTGATCTTTCATGATTTCCGAGATCACTCGCTTCAAAGGGAAATGGTCGTAATGTTGGAGGAGAAGGGAGTGGGCGTGGTTGTTGTTGTATCAAGTAAACGAGCGTTTGGGATGGAACAAGGGTTTCTTGAAAGTATTTGTGGGCACGGACAATGAAAAAAAAAGCTGTGTTTGGACGCATTAGAGTATGGGATGGGTGTGGGTTGATAGGGTGTCGTCGTCGATGTCGGGATCCTCATCATTGTCGTGCAACCATCTCTCTCTCTTCCTCGCACAAATTTCAACACGCGCGCGTTGTGCACTAGTCAACTGCTCTCTTTTCTCTCTCTCTCTCTCCCTTTACACAAACACTCACACACTATGACACACAAAAGGAAGTCGGCAGCAGCTAAACGAAGACAAGACAACCTTGCTCAACCCGATCAGTCATTGTCATCGTCGTCGTCTTCTACACAACAGCAACAACAAGAACAACAACCTGTTTTATTGGCAGCGGATAAGACCGGCAAGAAATGGCGCAACATGGCCATCCGTACATTTACAACACTGCTCATGATTGGAGCTTTCTTTTTCGTCTTGGCGTCTGGCTATGTTTGGTCTATAGTGGCTGTTATGGGTATCACTATTGTCGTCTATCGTGAAGTCATCCAAATTGCCCAAGTACCCGCCAAGGAAAAGAGTGTACGTTGGTTCAAGACCATGAGTTGGTAAGTCGTCTTCGTAAAAGGATATTACACAATAGCGTTTATGCAAACCATGATGATGATGATCCTTAGGTACTTTTTGATTACCACCGAGTATTTCCTTTATGGTGAATCCATCATTTACTACTTTACGGAGATTGTCATGGTCGACCGATTCCTGCTTCCTTTTGCAACCCATCATCGATTCATCAGCTTTATGCTTTATGTTCTCGGTAAGAAATGGACAAAGAGGCATGAGCGTTATTTATTCTTATTCATTGCTATGTTGGCATAGGATTTGTCTTTTTTGTGGCCAATCTCAAAAAGGGACAGTATTCGTTTCAAATGGCACAATTCTGTTACACCCATATGGCTTTACTTTTGATTGTCGTTCAAAGTCACTTTATTGTCGAGAACATCTTGGAAGGCTTGATCTGGTAAGCAATGCACAGGAAATGAAATGGATGGCTGGCTCATGATGAGTGATACAAGGTTTGTCATGCCCGCTGCTCTGGTGATTTGCAATGATATCTTCGCCTATGTTTGTGGTTTCTTTTGGGGAAGAACCCCATTGATCCAGTTGAGCCCGAAAAAAACAGTCGAAGGCTTTGTGGGTGGCTTCCTTTGTACACTTGTCCTTGGATTCATTGTAAGTTGGCTATTCATTGTTGTACGTAATTCATTTAAACTCATGATGGCCCATGCTTTGTTAGATTACTACCATTTTGATGCAATTCAATTACCTCATTTGTCCCGTTCAGGTACTTTTCTGCCGCATCCAAAAACACGATTTTCATCTTCAGCTGATACAATGCCATATGTAGGATTTGGGCGCATCGGCATGGTCTCATGTTACTTGTGAACCCAAGAACCCCGTGTTTACAGCTGTTCCTTGGGAATTACCTTCCAATGTTGCATGGTTATTGAAATTGATTGTAAGTCGTCGTCGTCTTTTTAACATCATCCTATTATACTTACCACCCCCCTTCATAGTTCCAACGTGACATTACTCAAGTACCCATTGCCCCTGTACAACTCCATGCCATTGTGATGGCTTGCTTTGCTTCGCTTATTGCTCCCTTTGGTGGTTTCTTTGCCAGTGCTGTGAAGCGTGCATTCAAAATCAAGGATTTCGGACATAGTATCCCAGGCCATGGTGGCATGACTGATCGCATGGATTGTCAATTCCTTATGGGTCTGTTTGCTCACATGTACCACCAAAGTTTCATCAAGGTAAATGACACTACTCTAGGTTTCCTCATGCAAAAGAAAAACGGGATGTAACTGATGACTGTGTTAGACATACAATGTCTCTGTGGGTTCCATCTTGGCATTGACCATCAATAACTTGACGCCTCGTGAACAAGTGGAACTTTTGGAACGACTTCAAACCTACTTGTCCAATCAAGAAATTCTGGACTCGGCCATGATCGCAGCCAGCAACATTGGTGATATCATTTCAAAGGCTCAACGAAATCTCACATTGTGAAGAAGAAGAAAATAATACTTGCCCCATCCCATCCGCATGCACACACACACACAAACACATCATATTTTACATAGAACCCCACTTTTTTTCTCTCTCTAGCTTGAGCTTCGTAATATCATCTTTCTTTTTTTCCTACTAGTAGCGATTCATTAGGGTGTACGTACAATACCTCATTCAATAGCACACACACGATTATATATATATACAAAAGGATCTTTTATCACGTGCAATTTCTGCAATACCATTCTTCTACTTGATCACTTTCTGCTACGCCTACGCAAGTACCATGATACCAGACACCGCACTTGTCACATGCAATCATGAATGTACCGTAATCCACCGTTGGGTTCTCACATATACAATGCACAATTTCACCACTAGCATCCGGTGGCATAATATCAACAGGAGCCGTTCCAGTAGGAGTAGTCGTCGTCGTCGTAATAGGATCAGTGATCTGAATCGTTTCAGACTCATATGCAGGCGTGGATGACGATGAAGAAGAAGGCCGTGCCTGTGGTGGAGAGGATGAAGATTGTGCATTGGGTGTAGAAGGAGCAGAGGTATCTTCCGGTGGCTTGATCTTGAAACGGATCTTTGGTGTATTGAGTGAAGTAGGTGTGCTTTCAGCGGTTGAAGGCGTCGTTGTTGTTGCGGGTGCATCATTGTTGTTGGACAAATTAAGTGTCAATTTGGGTAATTTCTTTTTCGTTGACGATGAGGAGGAGGATTGTTTTTGTTTTTGTTGTTGTTGTTGTGATGATGATGGCTCATGTCCTGCTGAAAGTGATGCCAATGAAATGGGTGTAAGTGTACTCGTGGAGGTGGTGGCAGCGGCCGCTGTGGATGTGGCGGGTGTGGTAGTAGTAGCGGTAGTAGTAGTAGTGGGTGTAGTAGAGGTAGTAGGAGTAGTAGCCATTGTTGTAGTAGCCGTTGTTGTCGTTGTCGTTGTTGTTACAGGAGGTGAAGATCCTAACTCTTCGACGTTTGATTGTTTACGATTATACTGTCCACCAGCCAAACTTGCCAACATGGATCCTGATGATGATCGAGAAGGTTGCTCCTTTCCATTGGAGGAAGAAGAAGAAGGTTGTGATTGTTGTTGAGATGATGATTGTGTTGATGTTGCAGGTTGAGTATTAGTTGTTGTTGTTGATGCTACATCGACCAATAAATTGGGAGCCGATAACTTGGATACCAGGGTGGGTGGGGCGACACGATGAAGTAATTCAGCCAATACGCCGGTGGGTGAAGAAAACATGGTGTTGCCAGGTGCTGCTTCATTTTGTGTCATGCGTCTGAACATGGCATGGTTACCAATAAGCTCATCACGTGCTTTACGCTTCAACAATGGATTCTCCTTGTCGGTCAATGATCCTACTGCATTCTTCATTGGAATCGTGCTCAACGCTGTACGTCGTCGTTTCTTGTCACCATTACGTCCTTCATTCGTTGGTGTCGATTGACGCTCATTCTCTTCATCCAAAGTCAATGATAATGCACCTCCACTTCCTTCTGCTGCCGATGCTGCAAGTGCTGATTCTTCAAAAGGCACCACATGTGTAAAGGGATTATCGATCGCTCTTTTCCTACTGCGTACAATGATAGGAGCGGGTGCACCCGATGTGGATATAGGTGGTTGTTGTTGTTGTTGAGATGCTGTTGCTGCTGCTGTAGGTGGTGCTGGTGTTGGTGCTGCAAGGACTGAAGTTGGACCTGTGGTGGGTTGTGGTGGCTCGTCTTGCTTGTTGATGGATGTAGGGAATGGTGGGAAATAAGATGGCACATACTCGGGCAAGTCATTGTTGATGGGTATGGGTGAAGTAACAGGTTGTTGTTCCTCTTCTTCTTCTTCTTCTTCATCATCGCTGCTATCTTGATCATATAACCTTTCTTCATCATCGGTGTATTCATACACAAGGACATCCTGATGTTGATTCCTTCCATTCTTCACCACAGCTAATGAATCCTCATTATCATCATGCTCCTCCACTTTTCCATCCTCATCGTATCATACATACCATCCAATGTACGTCCAGGATCTGATTGCTCTGACCAACTTGGTGCTAAGGCTTTGCCCTCATCATCCAACCAATCTCGTAAGCTGTCCACAGTCAAGCCGAGTTCGTCAAGACCATCCACAACATCCCATGCATTGCTGGTGCCTCTTCCGGCAAGTTGAGCATACGCCATCGAAGTGCTGGCAAGCAGCTGAAGATATTGACTCAAGACATCAGTCAAAATGTTGGTAGGATCCGCGTGTGCCGAATCAAAGCCTGCTGATTGTAGAATCTGCAACGCCGTGGTTCGCAATAGAGCATTGCAGAATTTGTCCGTCATGAAGCGTTTTGATATGAAATATGAGAGATGGGAACCAAAACGGTGCAAAGGAGGAGAGATTGTTTTTGAATGAAAGGAAGAAAAAAAAAGAGACCTTGTTCAACTCGCGGCGCGCCCACACACACACACTCATCCAGAGCGGGTTAAATTTCCACAGCCGGCATTGCTCGCTCTCTTTTTCTTTATACCACACACAACCACCACCACTCATACTTCAACACATTCACGCTTACTCTCTTCCCCCATTATGAATAACGATAATACACACGATCCAGGAGAAGGATCGAGTCGAGGGGCTGCCATGGCAGACGACATGTTGAATTCGCTCCTGCAGGGCACAGCTGGTGTAGATCTCGACGACTACATGCAGGACAATGACGACGAGAACGATCTATTTGATCCAACATGGGACACGAACGACATGCAAAACAACGACAACGTTGACGACGATGATGATGATGAAGGTTCTGTTTATGAGGATGATGAAATCACGCAAGTATTGGATTATGCGCAACATGACACGTGATGATGATCTCTGTCTAACCCAACCCAACCCATCTCTTTATACAGACAACTCTTGGACAGCACAAAGAAAGCGCGTGCACGGCTTAAGACGGGTGATCTTGGAGAATTGGCCAAGGACTTTGAAGAGTTTGAAGATAATTTGGTTGCTACGGTGCGTGTTGGCAAGCGCAATCGTAGTGTCAGACGACGCGGTGTTCGAGGCTCTGCTCCCATCCCACTTGAAGCCCAAGACATGTTGGGTAAAGCCAACTCTTTATACATTTCACGTGATTATGGCAATGCAATCGACAAGCTCCAAGAAGTCATTACAAAGTATCCCAACGTCCATCAAGCTTGGAACACCTTGGGTCTGGTGCATGAAGAAATCGGCAACACCGATCGATCCTTGCAATTACGTATGGTGGCTGCACACATGAATCAAAAGGATGCTAGTCTATGGAAGGAACTTGGTGTCAAATCCATGCAAGTATTATTATAAGCCATCCATCCATGTATTTGAAGACTCATATTCCTTCCTTCCTTCCCTCTCATAGTGAAACAGATGCTACCAAGCAAGCCATTTATTGTTTTACAAAGGCATTGACGGTGGATCCTACGGATATTGATGCTCTTTGGGATCGTTCTTTTCTCTACAAGAAAATGGATCGGATCGATGATGCGATTGACGGCTTTAAGCAAATTCTCAGCATTACACCTCACCATTTCAAAGTCATCAATGAGCTTGTACAATTGTATCGTGCACGAGGAATGATCAAGGAGGCCATCACTCTCTATGAAGAAGCGGTTGAATATCATACCAACAACAGCGATGCAATGCAACAACAACAGCAAGAGGAAGAGGAGGAGGATGAATTCACCAATCGATTGGGCTATGTGGAAGTCAACATGTTGAGTGAACTTTATCTTATGCAAAACGACTATCGACGCACATTGCAATGTATCAAAGACGGCGTACGACATGTACAACATCGGCAACATGAAACATCTCGATGGGAGGCCGATAACGATGATGAATACTTTGAAGAAAACGACAATGATGATGAAGGTCTTCAACGTGCTGAATTCCCTATTGAACTTCGTGTACGCATGGGTGTATGTCGTTTGTACTTGGGCGATTTTAAAACAGCTGCCGTAAGTAAAATAGCTTGAACTTGGAGAGTGTCATGGTGCTTATCTATGCCCATAGAAACATTTTGACTATTTGCTTCGATACCCATCCTCTGTTTATCCTGATTTACACCAAGACATCGCCTATGCCTACATGGATAAACGCCACTACGACTCTGCATTGTCCGTCTTTCAGAAAATCATTGATGCATCTGAGGTAAAGCAACAAAAGCGGTTGAATTGATTGATAGGTTTGCTTACTAGCAGTGTTGATGCATTAGGAAGTGGAAGTGGATCTCTTGATTCGTACGGCCGATTGTTATCATGCTGTGGGAGAAAATGAAACAGCTGCCATCTTTTATGTGAATGGTAAGGGAGACCCTTTCAGGATTGAATCAGTGAATCGAGTATTCATTTCTATACTTAGTCTTGGAGGAACAACCGGAGAATCTCGATGTCATGCTTTCGCTTGCTACAGTCTATGAAGAACAAGGAGAAGAGCAAAGAGCATTGGAGCTTGTGGATCATGGTAAGCGATGGGTCATACCACCTTCCTCTCCCTTCCGATATTCACAAATCATTTACTCTAGTGATGAAAAAGAATCGTGAGCTCCGTAAGCAACAAAGGAAGGAAAGGCTTGCAAAAAAGGCACGAGAAATTGCAGCACAAGAGGCGGATACAGGATCCAGAAAGCAACAATCAAAGCAAGCTTCTATCTTTGATGAAACGGTGACTCAAGCCATCACCAAAAAGGAGAGCTATAAGCGTGCCAGAGAAGAACGCCAGCGTAAGGAAGACGACAAGGAGAAGGATGGGCAAGCGATCTGGGCTGAGATTGAAGAATTGGATCCTTCCATTCCCAATGAAATTGTTGGCATGGACAAGAATTTGATGAGAGAGTATATGAAATTGGCAGAACAAGCCTATCAGGACTTTGTCAATACGCGTGCCTTTTTCCCTCATGATCGAGTAAGTTGTTTGAACAATGTCATTTCAAAAACGTGTAGATTGACTTTTTGGATATTGCTAGTTCAAACCATACACTGGATTCTACAGCATGCGAAGAACCACCCGTGCCAAGGTATCACGTGATCGTGAAGCACAGCAAATGGCTCGTCGTTTGCGTGATCGTTTGAATCCCGGTGAAGAGGAAATCAGAGCCAAGGCCGAAGGAGAGAGAGAAGAAGAGATGGATGAAGAAGAGGCGGTTATCAAGGAAGAAGAGGAGAATGATGCAAGACTTGCTGCAGCCAAACACTTTCGTGAGGTTCATTTCGATAGGTGGCTCGACATGTTTATCAAGGTATGTGTACACATATGGATTGATTTATACATACTTTTTGCTAATTTGGTTTCTCAAAAGTATGCATACATGTTGGCACAAACACGAACTGCAGACAAGGCGTACGACATGCTCAAACGTGTTAGCGAAGCCAACATCTTTTTCAATGACAAGAATTACAAATTATCACTGCGCTTGGCGTTGCTAGGTAGGGTATATTGCTTATGTATTGGGAAACCAATAATAACATTTTTTAGGCTGTGGATTGATCAATGACGACGATGTCGTTATCAGCGAATGCTCTCGGTGGTTTCTTTCTACATTACGTTTCCAAAGGGAGGCCTATCGGCTTTATGGCGTGGGTCATCGATGGTATGTTGTTCTTTGAAGATCTTGAAGAAAAGAGCTTAAAAGCTGATTCTTGTTAATACAGTGGTCAAAAGGGTCTACCTGCGTATGCGAACAGCAATGCCGTCAAGTACACGTTGAGAAACGTTCGCATATTGGATACGTTGGTTGCAAGGAAAAATGGCGAGACTGTCGATGATCACAAGCGTCAAATTAAAAAGTTGAGTGCAGCCATCGACTCGGGCCAAGTGGATCCGGAATCAATGGACCAAAAGAGCTTGCAGGCGTTTTTCAGTCAGCTTACAACGCAAGATGCAAAAGATGTGAATGATAGCAAGATCCAAAATGCAGAGATCCCTGATCAAATGGACCCGCTTCTCATGACACTCCTGGGCGAACAAATGGTCTATGGCAGAAATTTCCTTTCTGGTTCCTGTAAGTAGCGTGTGTGCACTACTAGCATGGTTGGATAGCCCATTCACCGCCCCTTCTCTTTATAGTATTCCTTTTACGTTCACAAGCCATCCATCCCAATGATCCGCTCACGCTCCTCTTGCTATCCATTGCATTTTTAAACCGAGCCATGAATCGAAGAACTGAAAACCGGCATTTGCAAATCACACAGGTATGTCAATCAACCACGCAAGATGTGATTTGGTATTGATGAATTTTGGTCATTTAGGGCCTTTTGTTCTTACAACGCTATTGCATGATCAAACATCAAAATCAAGAAGCAGAATATAATCTAGCGCGGGCGCTACATCTCTTGGGTAAGAGAACACACGCACTAAACAATGACCAGGGTCGATCATTTTGCTCACATGTATATACGTAGGATTGACCCATTTGGCGGTACCACATTATGAACGAGTCCTTGTGATGCCGTCCAAAGCAAACGAAGGCAAGATACCGGAAAAAAGCATTGAAAGCATTTACGAATTTGATGAGGATGAAGATATTGTCGATGACGATGATGATGATTCCAATCTGAGGCGAGACGCTGCCTATAATCTACATTTGATTTACAGCACAAGTGGTGCCCTTAACCTTGCACAAATCGTTTTGCATAAATACATCGTAATATAGCTGCATCCCCCCCATATCCCATTAATAAAACCATCATTTATGTTATACAAAGACATGTCCCCTATTAAGTTAACGTATGCTTTTTAATAAAGACAGTATGGTAGATTATGGTATAAGGTGATAGATGTTTCAAGGACGTGCCACCAACTTTTCTAGAGTATGACGATCTGCCGATTCAATCCATGCCTCGTCTTGGATATCACTCAAGATGGAAGCACTGGCACCCACGCCTCCCAAAGAAGTTTGATAACAATCATAGCCATGGGTCTGCAATTCCTTTGTTACGACATTCAAAGTTTCCTCAGAGATATCTATTATGGGCCCAATGAGCGTTTGGTACAATAAATCCTCACATGATTGCTGCTTCTTACCATCTCGGATAATCGACACTGCACAACCACCACCACCTGCACCCGTCAACTTGGTCTTAACACCATGTGCTTCGGTAACTGAACGCACTGTTTCCAGGCTAGGATGGCTAACACCAAGACCATGCAATAGACAATGATTGATATCCACCAATTCCTAAAAGAAGGTAACATTGTGAATAAGCAATGATGATGATGCATGATGGTTGGGTGTCTTTTTACCTCCAGCTCAGCAGTGACTTTGTGTGTATCCATTTCACCTGTTTGTAAACGTTTGAATACCTCGACACATCTTAAGGAGATACCATCGATGGCATCAAGCATAGGATCGACCACGGCTGGATACTTTGTCTTTTTGGCACCGACGCCAGCAACCAATGCACTTGTGGAACGAGGGACTTTGGTGTTGGTGAGCAACAATCGTAGAGACTTGCAGCCTTCCAATTGAGAGAATCCTTCACCACGTCGAAATGACAAGGCACCTCCTATAATGACAAATGAATATCGATGTATATACCCACCCACTCCCCACATTCTTCTCATCCATACCGAATGTTGCCACTGCATTATCCACTCCGCTTGGGTTGCCATGGATCACTTGTTCAGCCTTGAAGGCATATCGATTGATGGTTTCCAACCAAGCAGGGTCCTTTTGTTCACTGGTAGCAAATGCCTCGGGGAGATGACCAAACACCATCAACAAGGTAGTGGCCAAAGCCGTTGAGAAACTGGCCGAACTACCCAATCCAGCACCAACAGGCAAGGTGGATCGTGCACGAATAACAAGACCAAAGTTGCTGCCTTTGTTGTCGTTCTTTAGAAGAATGTATAGATAAAGAAAGGCCATCACAGCTTGCTTTTGAGCCACACTGGTCGTCTCTCCCATAAGCGTCTCCAATTGTTGTTTCAACGTGTCTGGCATGTCGGATGGATGCTGTTGTTCAAGCAATTCACGTTCCACGGCAATGTCCAATTGTGACAACGACCATGTGGCATCGACTTGCACATCGGGAAGCTTCAAACGGCATTCGCCACTCGTGTTTTCTGTCACGTCGAGATAGGTGCGTAACCCAAGCGATGCAGCCACGGCAAGCTGATGACAACCAACATGGTCTTAGTCCTTGGTCACAAATGTGGGTAGAGTTGCAATTACCTTTTTATGCACAACGGCATGTTCACCAAACAAAATGACCTTGCCAGGTGCTGAAATGAGCAATCGTTTGTCGCTAGCTGTCATGACGTTTCCAGGGTAACAAGGAGTTCGAAGGAGGACGACGAGCACGACGACGAGAACAAGATGTACCTGAATCCGGCAGTCACATGCTCATCATAGTCGATACGACGACGATGCACCAGCAGATGCTTTACTTTGATCTTTTACATGTTGACCACCATGACAGCATACAAAATGTACACATACGATGTACGCTCACGCACATGCACGCACCCATCCAAGAGGGCTGGGCATTGTGTTACATACAACAACCACACTTTGAACAACATCAGCTCCGAGTTTCAACATTGCCGAAAATGTGGCATGTACACCACCTATACTCTATTCCTTGATCCCCCTCTCTCTCATCCTCCTATCAATCACTTATTATCATGTACATTGAAGGTGTAGAATAAAGAGTAAATCAATGTATGTACAACAACATGATGATGCAAGTTTTTTCTTTGTTCTTCTGATCCATGCATGATCCGATTACTGATTTAAGAAATATGCATTTTTCTGGTAACCTATCGGCGTTTTTCTTTAAGGAGATTATTGTCGACCTTTCTTGAGCATCTATTTCATACAATGGAGAAATGCATTTCCAACATGGGATAGAATGTGAAAACCCGGGCACAAACCTGTGTGTGAGAGTGAATTGCTCCATCGGGTCGTCTTGTGTGCTGTGTATTGTGTTACTCGATACCATACGGAGATATTGGATCACTTTTATATATAATAAGGTACCCCGCATGGCGTCGCTACTGTTGTAGTAGTAGTACTCTTTTCTTTTCTATGGCACCGATCATCGCAGTACGAGAAGCTAAAGGTGATCCCAACATCAAATCAGATGCTGGATGGCTCCTTTACGTGTAAGTATAGCGAGCTACTACAACTATCACTCATAAACTAAATACATACATGTATATAGGAACACTGCATTTGCAGCTCTGGGTGGTTTTCTTTTTGGATGCAAGTGGCTCTACAACATTATTAAAGAAGTCTTCAGCAGGGGAAGCTAACACGATCAATGTAGATGATTTTGGAGTGACCAGTAGCGTCATGGTGATGCATCCATTTCAAGTTTATTTTGCTCCTTTGACACCAGCATTAAAGGTACGTATGTCATTTACAAAGAGCGTATTGTACATACGTGAATATGAACATGTGTATGTATTACGTAGGGTGCCCTTAACTCGCTTATGGGATGTGGTGCTGTTATTGGATGCATGATTGCAGGCTGGATGTCGGATCGATGGGGTCGCCGTGACAGTATTTGTGTTTCAGCCATCGTTTTCATTGTGGGTGGTGTATTGCAAACGGCCTCTGTTCATATTGGTATGCAGTTGATTGGTCGTTTCATCTCTGGACTTTCAGTGGGTGCCTGTTCTGTATTATGTAAGTTTCCCATGATTCTATTTTTTCTTTGTCAAGCGATGACGGTGGTGGTGCTGATCATTCATTGAACGCTTGTGTAGCACCCATGTACAACGCTGAATTGGCTCCCAAGGAAATTCGTGGTCGTCTTGTGGGTTTCCAACAACTCATGATCAATACGGGTTTACTTTGCTCTGGATGGCTTGGCTTTGGAACAAACTACATTACCAACGACTGGTCATGGCGTATCCCTTATCTTGTCCAAGTCATCCCTGCTATTGTCCTTTGCCTTGCTCCTTTTGTCCTTCCACGCTCTCCACGCTGGCTAGTGGAAAAGGGACGTATTGATGAAGCCCATCGCGTCCTTGCCAAAATCCATGGCCGTGGTGATATGGATCATCCTTACGTCAAGATGGAGTTGCAAGAAATCAAAGATAACGTCGAACTTGAAAACAACATCTCGGTCAACAACTACTGGGACATGCTCAAGGATCGAAAGAATAGCCGTGTGTTATGGGTCGGCTGCTCAATTGCTGTATTCCAACAACTCACAGGTGCCAATGTGATCATGGTAAGATACATTTACGACAAGTATGCAGGAATGATCTCATTGATGATGACGCTTTTAAAAGTACTATGCTCCTATTATGTTTAAACAAGCAGGGTTGGAGGGTGACATGTCACTGCTTGCCAACGGCATTGACTACATTGTCATGGTTGTATTTTGTCTTCCAGGCATGTGGCTCGTTGACAAGATAGGTCGTGTCAAACTTATGATCATCGGCTCCGTTGGCATGTGCTGTGGCTTTTTTATCATGGCAGGATTGTATGGTGGATGCGGATACAAGGAATGGTCCGAAGAAGACCTCATGAACGTTGTTAATATGTCGGAACACCCTCAGGCAGCATCAGCAGTCATTGCATTCATTTTCATCTTTGTCGCCTTCTATGGTACAACGTGGGCACCCGTCGCATGGATTTATATTGCTGAAATCTTCCCATTACGCATCCGTTCCAAGGGTTTTGCCTTTGCCTCAGCCCTTTTGTGGTGTGCCAACATCCTCGTGGGTCAAGTCACTCCTGTGCTTATGGACAAGATCACATATGGCACCTATATTGTGTACGGCGCTATTGGGTTAATTATGCTTGCATGGATCATCCTCTTTGCTCCAGAGCCTAAAGGCCTTTCACTTGAAGAGATGGAAGTCATTTTCCATGGTCCTATCATTGTCACCAACCTCGACTACGAAGCGTATTTGGAGGCACACAGAGAAGAAATCGAACAAAAGCGTGCCGAAGTCGAAGCAGCAGCCGCTGGCGGTAAAACAACAAAGATTGAAGAGACGTCTTAAATTAATCTCCCCCCCTACCCTTTCTCTGTGCTAATACCTTATTACAAATGCAATGATCTATTATTTCTCTACCCATGTACTATAATAAAGCTGTTACAAAACACAAAGAGCCACCACATTGGAGAAGCGGAAAAAGAACACCACCAAGCACCCTAAACCTTAAAGAAGCAGCAACCATGCAAGGAGGAATCTTGTGGATCAAAAAAGAAGGCGACCGTTGTTGCAGCTCCCTCTTCAAACTAGTACTCTAAAAAATGGTTGACCACTTTATCATTGCATTCGACCATACCCCCAAATGAAATCACAGAATGTCTTTTTGTCAACTTGATTGCCTATGGTAATGCCATCAATGGCTTTGGTAAATGACAAAAGGAGAGCTACATACGTAATCCATTGAATGAGGATACGCAATGCTTTAATCTTTTGTCGTCAGCCTTCATAATGAGCATCATATACATCATTTACATGCTACATAGATTGTGAAGAACAACGATCCATCTTTGTGATTAACGTAAAAGCACATTCATTTTCAATCATAAAATAACATCCTAATTGACTTTTTCGACTAATTTACTTAATAATGGCATACAATGGTAGCATAGTTTTACCAATAGTTTTGGTAAAAGGGCATCTAAAAAGTGAATATGAGTACCACGATGCATTGTAAAGAGGTCTACTAGAATAGCTTACCTGTGGCTGATCATGATGTCGATGTGACTCTGACGTGACCAAAACCGGGGGTGGATGTTGTGATCGAAGATGAGGATGTTGGTGGTGTTGAGGGTGATTCGGCGGTGGTGGTGGTTGTTGTGGTGAAGATGTTGGCATGGGTGTGCCGGGTATGCAAACTGTTAAAGGGTTGTTGTTGGCGTTGTTTGGATGGATAGGTGACGAAGGCGATCTTTGTTGAGCAAGAGGATGATGGTGATGATGTTGAGTAGCAGCAGCAGCAGCAGCAGCAGCTGTAGCCATGGAGTAAGTGGAGGATGACATGTGATGTGATGAACGACGTCTCTTGAGAGGAGGTGGCATCAATCTATCAGCTGCTGTAGCAGGTGCATTCATCATCACCGTGGCTGCTGGTGGAGGCGTAGCTACTGAGACGGGTGATGGACTACTACTGCTAGCCACACTGGATGTATCCAAAGGTGGGAATGCCATGTTGTCTTCTTCCGGTAAAGAGGGGTAATAATGCATGGGCATGTTGGGTGGATACATCATATAGTTACTAGCATCCATAGCTGTACGATGTCTACTGTTGGTATTTGAAAATGGTGTAGTGGATGGGAATGGTTGTTGCTGTGATGGTTGCGGTGGTGGTGGTGGTTGCATGGATACCGTTGCTGCTTGGGGAGGTTGCTGCGTTGTTGTTGTTGTTGTTTGAGGAGGAGCAGGTTGTGCAAGTTGTCGCTTACGTTGAATGGTGCGTTGATTGTATACCTTGACAAGATACGTATGTTCAGGGATCACAACCACTGTAAACCCTTTTGGTGGTGTTGTTGTGGATGTATCATGGTTGTTTTGATTGTCCTCTTCTTCCTCTTCCTCTTCAGATGACAATGCTGGTGGATTGCCAAGTGAGTCAACGGGTATCTGAGCCATGTTACAAATCGTGTCAAGCATTTGCATCAATTGGGTCTGTGCGTAATCGGTAAGTTCTTCACAACCAGCAGCTGCCATGCATACTTTGGTCCATGTTGCTGTAAGCTGATGAGCACGTCCTGTGGTATCCTGTTGTCGTATCTTTTGTCGCTCCTCCGATAATCGATTATAAAAACGACGTTCATTCCATGTGATGTCTGGAAACCGGTTTTGCACCTGTTGTCGAATCTCTTGCGTTGACAAATGTTGACGTGCAAGCTCACGGATCAACTCATGCACTTGCTTTGGCCACCCACGCTCAACTTCTTCAGGGCGCATCAATGGATGATTATGGTGCAACGCTTCTGGATTATTGGATTTTCGAAATCGCCATAAATGAGTGTCTTTGCTTTCATTCAACACCACACGCCATTTGCAGTCGCAACGTTTTGAAGGACGTTTACGCTTTGGATTGCTTTTTGGATTACGAACGGAATCAGCAAGACCTTCACGAGAACAGTAAACATAAATATTCTATAAAAGAGAGAATGATTAATCATGATGACGAATACAAGGAAAGAGGAGGGGGGTGTAGCTTACGCGGTGTGTGCTTGATTCCTGCTTAACAGTGAATCCAAATTGAGCGCATAGGTTGCGACAAAAATCAATGGCAGCCTTGCTTGTAGTAAAAGTCTGCTCAAGTAACTCGATATAGAATGGGTCGAGCTTTGGATCCATAATGAGTATCCATGTCATAGGGGAATAGTTGGGTTATTATGTTCTGTGTACCTGTTGGGAAGATGATGACGCTTCTATGGGTGATGCCATTTTTATCATGAATACTGCTTGGTGTGACAGACAAGGTTGACAGCTTGTGCGAGCAACTGGAGTGTCAAAATGACGTGATGGCTAATCTGTTGAATGGAGTGAAATGGCGATGGGTTCTACCAACGTGATGCGTTAGGCACAAGTCTACGTGGCGGGTTCTCTATCTACGTAAAGGGTTGACTGGGATAAGGGTGTGTATATTCACCTGTTGTTTATATGATACTCTTTATCGCCAGGTCAAAAAAGAGGACCAAAGAGAAAGAAAGAAAAGGAAAAGAAACAAAAGAACAAAGAACAGCGTGTTTTGTTGGGCTTTTCACGGGGGAAACGAGTGCCGTTGATGTGGTAAAGGACCTGCACCAGAAGAGCACATAACTCACACATTCACGCATCTTGTTTTCCGGTGGGTCGAACTTTGGATTGAAACATCTCCAATCGCAGCAATTCCATAGCCTGCGCGTCTCTGGTGTTACAACGGAGCACTAACCTGACCCCCAAGATGATTCGCTCTTATGTATACGTAATAGATCAATGTCATGCAAGTATCAATTCAAGCAGAATAAAGCAATAAAGATAGTAGATACATATCAAGTAATGGGATGAAAGTAATAGAGTTAGGAAATGGTAATAGCGGGCCAAGAAGCCATCTTTTCGGGGTTCAAGAAAGGAGCAGCAGCACTATCCCCCATTTGCGCGCCAAAAGCCATCCCCCACCCTTTTGCTTCGCGTATCTTTATGCATCAAAGAGAGAGGGGCAGGGAATCATATGCATGCGATAACAATAATGCATACGCATAACATTATTGTGCCCTTTGTTCATGTAAAAAAAAAGTCAGCAAATTATCATGGCGTCGTTTGACGCCCCCCAAACCATGAGAATTATTTGGTCCTTTCGGGCAAACATCATGAAAATAGGGATAATGCAAGTTTGTCACGGGAACGGATGCTACTGGTCTCAAAGCAGCGATCTCGTAATACAGGGTAGAAGCACGACAGCTGGCGGAGTGTTTTAGCTATCTCATCCTCTTGTTGGTGGCTCCGGAATCATAAATTGCGGGTGGTGGTGCCTTGCTGCTGAGCATTCTCTCTCACTCTTGTCTACATTGAAAAATGTTCAAAATTGTTGATCCTCACTGTAGCCCATGTATCACATGATACTCCGTTAGAAGGATTGACATTGTGCAATACCATCCTCATTGCCGGATATGTACCTCCGCGCCTTTTACGTAGTATCCGATAAAGATCAGCTTTCGGATGCTGCACGAAGATGTTTGCGCTACCTCGTGCTCATCTTATACAAATACCAAGTATGCTATCCCCAAGCTATAACCCAAGTTACTACCACCATGAAGCAGCTGTCTATATTGTATCCCGGCTTTACGGATGCCACAACGCTTTGCCACATCCGTAGCACCCGATGTCCAAATTACGCTTTTCATGTGGCACCTGCGTATGACAGAAAGCCCCTTCCACGTTGAATGCACGTTGGAAGCACAAAATCTTTACGGAAATCAAATTTACCCACCTGATCAATGATCACCATAGCTGTTTAATCACCCGTTATTAGTGCATTTATATATAGCAGCAAACATGATCGGCTATGTTGGCATAGTAAGTGAAAGCCACCATTACCCTCCATTGTCGTCGTTGTGTCGAACGATATGCATAGGTCATTATGTATTATCAACATGGCTCTTTTTCAGGGTGCTCATTCATACAAAGCACATGTTTGAAAAGATGCCACAAGCCCATTGTTATGCATGAGCTCATGGTGAAATCAAAAGATGGTGTTCTCCAACCCCCTTACAACATACGACAGATTTTCTTTATTCGCAATTGAATCAGCTCATAGGATATCCATGACATGCAGTAGTGTCTTTCCTACTTCAACTAAGCCTTAGCTTTCTTACCATGGCTCGCTACAGTAGATAATTGTGGGATCACTTGTTTATGATCTATACGTGTGTTAAATGCATGCCGCTGGGTGATGTTTGATCATGCGTGATGCGTGTAGATTGAAGATACAAACACGTGACGTATCATATAGCATCATCATCGATTCTGATATAGGCAGCTGACTAGTATTGGGACATTGGAACGACGTGCTGGACATCCTCAGCAATGTGCATGATTACTTTTAATCAACACCTTGCATTACTTTCACCAAATCACTGCATCATATACACTATGGTATCATTGCGGATCACTGTAACAATAAGAAGAAAGCTCATATTATTGAGAGCTTTAAACCAAGTACAATAAGGGGGAAGTACAAGTATACATAAAATGGTGGGGATGTACGTGCATGCCTAATCGCTTGAGGTCCAGTAATACCCTCGTCAGTTGCAGGGAGCTTGATGCTGTATATAGGTATGAAAAACGATCCGCGTTGATGAGGACACAGGGCCACCTGTACAATCATTGCTCCTTCTGCCTCCCTACATACCTTAGATTTGGCACAGCCGATCCATCACCAGCTCCACTTGCTTCTCGTGTATCCATCGGGATCGTCGCATAAATGCCAAGGCCATTCGGGTTGTTTGATGCCGTTAGAGTTGGGCGCCCGTTGCATGGATACTTGGTAATGCTCTCCTTCTTGAACTGGACATTGGCGACTAGCCTATCGACCTGAAGCTCAGTGTACTGCTTGATGCTATCGAATCCACCTGTAAGTACAATGGCCATACCATGTGTGTGTGTCTCGATTTGGAAAATTCTATACTGTGGACGTGGATTTGCAAAGATAGATGGATGGATGTGAGGTGACTTTTGTTGCATGGTGGCGGATCATATGCATAGCGTGTCAAAACATGGAGCTCAAGGATGAGGGTTGCACATGGTTGATAGGTTGCATGAAGGATGATGATAGTAGTTGCCATGAAGTCGCGTGTAAAGTACGATAATCGGATGCGTCAATCGCTCTGGATGATAGCGTCAAGGTCAAGTTGACAATGGATACGTAAGAAAAAAACTCTTTTCCCACGCGTCGTTTATGGCCAAATCTTTCCATCCCATGTACATACCAAATCAATGTTCGTAATCCATTTCCATAACGATAAGAAGTTGTGTGTATTGGAGCAAGCTGCTGTACGTAAATAGAGCTGCTTCTATATAATGGCCATCGGCTGTTCACGTGAAAAGGGCTGTAAGGGAAATGTTCTTGCAAGCAACTTGAGACAATGGAGTATAGATCTTGCTAATAGCAACTACTGGAATGAATGCTGTTGCCTTTGGTCGTGGTAGAAGGATGTGCAGCGTAGTGTGTAGCATCAAGCGATTCACGTGCTGTAGTAGACGAGTGACAAAGCTGTGTACACCATGCACTTGCCATTCAGTCGAAGGCTTTCGGAACAAGATAGCTGTAGCATTGACATGATGGGTTGAAGCAGGACAATCGTTCGCAGGTGGTAGTTGTATGTACTTGAATGCACCGACAGTTGAGAATGGGTGGAAGAACAGAAGAGGCTGGGGGAGAACGGGAAATTAAAATGGTTTGATTTGATGTTGAATGATGTTTCTTTGTTTGACCGTATCTCAATCAAAACCTCACGGATCAAGAAAGTTCAATGATGAGCATGCTGGGCTGGAGCAAGACAATCGTTCGTATGCATTGGATTGGATAACAAAGGTGAATGGGAGGAATGGGCTATTAGCCGGCAGGTTACAAATAACTTACCAATTTGATTCTTCTGATATTGGGTGATGTTTCTGTGTTTGAGCGTTTTTCAGTCAAATCCTCTCAGATCAAGAAAGTTGAATGATGGGCATGATGGGCTGGAGCAGGACAATCGTTCGCATGCATTGGGTTGGGCAACAAAGGTGAATGGGAGGACTGGGTTATTAGCTGGCATTTTGAACTATTCCTAAATCGTGTACAAGCATCATGCATCGCCTGTGCTGAATGACTCAAGTTACACAAAGAGGTCCTTCTGCATCTTTGGCTCTCCAGGGTCTAGCTACTTTACATTAAACAAAGACCACTCTTCATATAGCATCACACTTACAAACATAAAGGTGCCTGTATCTCCAAACTTTACAATCAAACGTGGGGCTTTTATTAGAGCAATGTGCTCGGCTTGGCCAACAGCACCTTGTGTGAAAGTTTCAAGTTCATCGTGGCTAATCCCAGATTTCGCAATGTCGCTACCAGCCAAACTGGGTCCAGGGGTCGACCTGTTCGACGACGACGACCAAAAAAATATTTTTTGGGCTGTTTGCGACATTGAACGCGAAACTTTCACACAAGGTGCTGTTGGCCAAGCCGAGCACATTGCTCTAATAAAAACCCCACGTTTCATTGTAAAGTTCGGAGATACACGCGTCTTTATGTTTGTAAGCGTGATGCTATATGAGAAGTGGTCTTTGTTTAATGTAAAGTAGCTAGACCCTGACAGAGCAAAAGATGCAGAGGGTCGTGTTGTGTAACACAGCTACGTTTGCATGAATGAAAGGTCAATATATATTTACTCTATGGATCATCTAGGAACAGGCATGTATTCCTAGCTAACGGCCACTTTTATCCAATCATCATTGTTGCGAGATCCACTGCATGGGAACGATGCCCCTGCTCTAGACATTCATTTCCATGATTAAAGTAGGTTGATCCGAGCTGATTTGACTGAGCTGTGGTCAAAGAGAGATTACATCACTCTGGACATAAAGCACGCTCGATGTAGCTCAACCGATGTAATCTTGTGTGAGCGTAACTCAACCAAATCAACTCGGATCAACCTACTTTAATCATGGAAATGAATGTCTAGAGCAGGAGCATCGTCCACCTACAATAGAATGCACAAAAGTTGGGAATGCACAAAAGGGGCTATTAGCTGCCAATGTATGACATAAAAGTGAGGGTTGCGTACCTTTCATGCATTGTCCCTGAAGTCCTGACTTTTTAGCTGAGTTACCCA